TAAAAGCGTATTTTAACAGGAGTAGCTAAGAAAGTGACATAAGGAAAGAATGATTTTGCTGAAAAATGTAAAAGTTTTGCTGGATATTCCTCAATAGAATTAGCTAAACATTATTTGATTTTTTCAGCAAATATTTTTTGCTGTAGCGCCTAAATTTTAACAACTAATAAATTTAGCTTTGGCAGTAACAATATTAGTTGTCCTTATATTTTAAAAACACACATTAGCTGCCACGGCTATATTTTAGCTGCGTTGGCCAATCCTTTCTCTGCCCGTGACGCACACACACCAACACCAGGCTATATCAAACGTCCGCACTCTTCAACAACTGCGGCTGAAATTATGCCACTCAACATGACTGTTCGAAAAGGTTCGCACTATGTAGTTCAACAGTCGTCCGATAAATGGCGTCAATGGGGAGGCTGTAAAAAAATCAGTCCGGGAACTTATGGACCGCACTGTGTATATCTCATTATATTTCTATTTAAATATTACATTAAGTTATTTAAGCGAAATTTATTCAAATATATCAAATAATCCGCACACAAAAATATTTAAAGTTCTACTTAAACACTATGTTCATATACATTATCATTATATTAAATAAAATATTTATTCAGATATAAATTATGTAACTTATTCAAGAAGACAATCATTATTATTAATGATTTTCTTTTTTAAAGAAACGTGAAATTCTTTTTTTTGTCTCAAATGTGCGATTGATAAAATTTGCCAATAATTTTCTATTTATCTCCACTTAAAAAAAATTCTGATATATACGTATATAGGTACGCCATCACACGCATACAATGGAAAAATATGCAAATATATTTTAAACGTTCTTTATTCGATTTTTTTGGACGATTCATTTCATTTCGTCACTTTCGATAGCCTTTCAAGGCACAATATTAATTCACAATGCTTAGTATGAGGAAACATGTCAACCGCGATGGCCTTTACTGGTACCAAGGGCTCACCGAGATACTGCTTGGAAGTAGGTCGTGCTAAGTCAATTAAATTTTTAATGGCAGCACCCGGGTCGCACGCTATATACACCAGTTTGCTCAACTTTTTTGATTTACGTAGTGTCAATAAAGCTTTTTGATCTAGAAAAAACATACAGGTAAGTTAACATTTTCTTATTGACATTGTAAATACTGTTTATATGTAATGTACATGGATATAAAAATATGGTGCACAATGCTGCAGGGGTGAAGCACAAAGGGTGAGAGGAATGAGTATCTAATGGGACGGATATAAGAGTCCAAGATAGCAGCAGCAGAGATAATACCATGGAGTGAACCACGTCGTGACATCAGTTAACGTCTCGGTTAACATCGAACAATGCCGCGCGATGTGACAATAGATACTAAATCTGAGAGATGGATCCGACTGGATTGTTTCCCTGTCCCGTCAGACTTTATCCCTCTTCCCCTCGTCTAAAAGCATACCTTGTGCTCCATTCATATTTATTTTTACATCCAGGTAATGTAACTCAGTACAATAAATGTAACTCACGTAAGCCAGCTCGTGGAGGATCCACAATAGCAGTAATATTCGATTTTGTTGTCCTCTGAATAACAGGCAACAAAATATCCTCCGCCTTCCCAACAAAAAATTCGCAATTAATAATATCGTTCTTAATAGCGTTTTCCTTCGCGTCTTTTATAGCATCAGGAATAATTTCCACTCCTAATACTTCGCCGTAATGCTGCAACAATGAACGTTACATTTATAATAGTACATCTTCAGGATCTCAATTGATCATACCTTCGAAAAGCAGAGACCTATAGTTCCAGTACCGCAACACACATCAAGTAGCGCCGTATCCATCGTAGGTTCAGCAAGATCGATTGCCGCCTTGTACAGAACTTCTGCTCCTAAAGTATTAACTTGAAAAAATGCTTGAGGCGAAACTCGAAATTTCATTCCGAGTAGCGTTTCTTCTATATATTTTGTTCCACTTATATGATATAAGGTGTCGCTACTTTCACCACCTTTACTTCTGTAAAGTTAAATAAGCAAATAAAAAATATATGTGTTGCTATTCTTGTATAATATATACTTACTTCTTATCAATTGTTTGAAAGTACAATGAAGTGACATGAGCATCAACACCTTTTCCAGTTTCGAAAAATATTCTTAATTGCGATTTTAACTTTTCTAATTCATCGCTACGTAGATCTTGAGGATGTATTCCTACTATCAACATTAGATGATTGGCACGAGTGGTTCGAGCGGTAACTTGTCTCCAATATCCACTATGATCAACTGGATTAAAAGGCTCCAAGTTTGACTCACGTATAAATATTTCTAATATCTGAAATATAATATGCAAATTTTAAATTCTAAGCCTATGTTATCTTCATGTCTAAAAAAAATTGACAATTAAAATTTACCTTTACAGCAATTTTCATATTTTTTGGAATGTGACAAAGATCGTCAATAGGTCCAACTGCTGTAGAACCTGAGGCATAAGCTGATAGTCTAAACCCAATCATAATTTTGCTCTGCTCGCTGTCTTTACCTGTATCATAAAATAGGAAAATATAGAGTGAATTTAGCCAAATTATTATTCCTTACATAAATCTATAAGAAATAATCACCAATTGTAAACTCGCATTTATTTCTATATGCTTCAGTAATATCCGCTGAAAGTATATTCTGCAACTTGCATGGCAATCCATCGTACAATTTTCTTTGTGAATTTACCCAGTCTGTCAATGCTTTACTTTCTATAACCATTCGCTGACCAATTTTTATCAGGATAGATTTCATCTCCTTTTGCTTAAGTTCGAGCTAAAAATGTATAACAGAAATTTAATACTTTTTAATACATAATAAGGGCAAAAGTTTTACCTGATCTAGATATGGCATGTTCCACAAAGGAGTAGTACTAAATTTGATTCTGTCCATAGGGGAACAATTTGGATCCTCAGCATCAGTTTTCAAACGTTTGTTGCTAGACTCTTCTTCCAGTTTTCTTTTCACAAAAGGATCTGGAGCAGGTTTAGCTGCCTATCAAAGAAAAAGTAAGCATTAAAACTATATATTTAATATATTATTACATTGTTTTATAGTAACAAACAAGCAATTGATTTTAATACTGTATATTTAATTCCGGAAATAGTATTGATGAAAGATTAAGAATATCTTAATTAATATATGATATATAAAACTTTTAGTTTTAAAACGATTAGCAATTTGGGTAGGAAATTAAAGGAAAAGTTTATGAGAGAATTAAATTATCCATGCACCAAGTACTGTGTTAATGACTCTAATTGCCTACCCAAATTGCTAATTGTTTTAAGGATACCTGTGCAGTGAGTTTACTGTTTTTCCACAAAATCCCATTAATAGTAGTTATTGCTCGTTGACGACATTCCTCACTTCTGAAACATACATATAACCAACTGCTGCTGCCTTTTTTAGGTGGCTTTACTTTACATAATTGCAAATCCAGTTTTTCATTTAAGAGCTTCTTGAATTCACCAATTCCATAATGTTTTGGTAAACCGCGCACTTCTATCTTGTACTTTTCAGAAGTAAAATCGTCTCTTTCAAGATATGCATACGGATTTTTTTCGTTCTCTACAATGCTGGTTGTTACCGTTTTCATATCATTTGTGTCAGCCATAATGTCAACTTCTTAAATTCACACTTGCACAATTCGTTAAAATTTCTATCAAAAGATATTCAGGAAAAATTGTGTTGCTAGAGTCGTTTAATCTTCTTTCTATATTTTTACACAGTTTACTCTAACCGTAATACAAATATAACAATATTAAATTCTGAATATAATTAAGTGCTTAGCTGTTAGCCAACTAAATAACTGCGATAAAGCTAACAAGCAATAAAATTGATTGAAAAGTACATATCGTTTTCCCAAACAACTTATAACAGGTTAGGATCGTGTAAACACATGTTTTCACCATAGACATTAGGAATTATAGAGTTGCGTTCGGAACAGTGATCACAGTATAACCAGTAGGTCCACTTAGGTAGAGTCCTAGATTATCAGAGAAGCGCGACCGGTGTTACGAGTCCTGATTGGACACGCAAATGGCCAATCATAAGATTGATTTATCGCTATTATAAATGGCTACCGAATAAATCAATCTTATGATTGGCCATTCGACGCCATTTTTAATATTTTCTAGTACTTTTGCGATACTGCCATAAGCCGGTCGCGCTTCTCTGATAATCTAGGACCCTACACTTAGGGTGTATCCGCCTGCAATTTCGCAGACGGATACGATGATTGTCGCGGAGGAAGGAGACCTTGTATCCGTCTGCAATATTGCAGCCGTCTACGATTCACGTCACGGCTGCGGAGACGTCAACGGAGAGGGCGGAACGTGCGCTGCAGATAGTCCGCCAATGGATGGTGGAAAAAGAGAGGCGTCGGAGCGGAGACTGGGCGGTTCCGGAAGTGGCGGCCGAAGAAGAGGTCGAACCGGAAAGCCCCAGGTTCGAGCCGGTCACGCCGCCATTGCCAACCGTGGAGGAATAAGGCATTAAAGAGCGCCATTATATTTTATATCTTTTATTTTATATTAATTATTTAGTTTATCGTTATTGTTTGATATTAACTCCGTAATCAGCAGTCGGCTGTAAAGTTTTATGTTATTATTTCTCATTGTTTTAGATTATATTCATTATATTTTTTAAGATTTTGATACGCCTTTATGTTTGTAAAAAGTACAAAGAGCATCGTTTGTAATGATATTAAGATTCGGAACATTTTTAGCATGTAAAGTATGGATGAATGAATGAGTGTGTGAATATATAAAATAAAATAAAATAACGTGTAATCAACAAATATCGTTCCCTATAATTCAAAATCCTTTACCTGGACGCAGAAAACAATAAAAAGAGAAGTAATAAATAAGAATAGTGATGACAATTTGGGCGGCCGATAAGGAAAAATAAATTTAATCCATGCGTTAGCATTTATTTTAATGATAAGTTAAGCATACATAGTTATTTTACAGTTACGGATCAAAGGAGAGGGTTCCGAGAGTAGGGCCAGTCCATATAAGTCACGTGATCACCTATAACAAAAAAATATGACATTAATTAATGATTGTAATCCATAAATTTTATTTTATTTGTATGCAAAAATCAGCGTACATAGTTGTTTTGAGATTTGATTAGCGAAGATGTATCATCCGACCATCGGATGAATTGACCGGTCACGTGATTATCTGGAACAAGGAAACAGAGCGTTATTTGGACAATGTGATCCATAAAATATTATTATTTTAGTTAATTTTAAGAAGTATACCAAGCAGCGAAGGGCTCCGAGCCAAAGTTGTCATCACACCTGTAATCAAAAAGTTAAAGAGTCAAGTTATTGTAAAAATGAGTTTAGTTTTAAAGATTTATCCACGCGAATAAGTAAAAATAGCCAGGTAAAGCGATATAAAGTATTGTCAAGATGAATAAAAAGAATTAATTATAATTTTAGCAGTTCGACATTGAAATGGTCGAACTCTGATGATTTGGGAAACGTTGTTCAGTGAGACGAGCCCAAGCATTGGGTAAAGCGCCGGATTGGTTCGGCAAACCGACCAATCCGAGAACCAAGCAGCGAGCGTTAAAAATTATGTGCGCAGCAAACGCGGAGAAGGGGAAAAGCGACCGACGGTATAAATATCGTTGCCCGGATGGCAACGAGGTCTTTTGTTCCGGTTCGGTTCGCGAGTAAGCTCCGTGTAAGAAAAGTCCCGCAAAGTATTGCGTAATAAAAGAATCCGTTATTCAGCGAGCGTTAAAAACACCGACGAAAAAGCATCTCGATCGGACGTCGCGAGTACGGAGATTTCGATCCCAAAACGGATCTAGCGCGAGTTTGTCGCGCTTTTATAAGACGTATTCTTGAAATTCTATACGCGTATTCGGTCATCTTTTGTGCGTTATAGCGCTGTGTCGGTCGTGGCAGGGCCGAATCGTTTAC